AATGAATAACTAGACTCTCACTGTCCAGTAGCCACTAACCACATGTGACTACTGAGCATTTGAAATGTGCTAGTTCAATCTGAAGACTTAGTACTTAAAAAAATGTAAAATATCTCATTTAATGGTTTTACATTGATTGCACACTGAAGTGATATTATTTTCTTATGTTTTGGATTACATAAAATATGCTATTTACGTTAATGTCACCTGTTTCTTTTTACTTTCGAAATGTAGCTACTAGAATATTTAAAATTATGTACCTGGCTTAAATTATATTTCTACTGGATAAAGCTAGACAAGCCAGTAAGTTCTATAAAGTTAGGAGAAGAAGAAATTACTATGTAATGAAGAAGCCTTCATAAAGATATCAAGACTTAAAGGATTCAGAAAAAGAGAGGAAAGTGCATTCCACGCTAGAAGAACCACATTATATAAAGCAAAAGAACGTGTACCTCAGGCTTACTAGATGAGGGGATATTCTGAAATAAATTAATCTTCCTCATGTGATATCAGAGTATTTAGGCCAGAACAAATCACAATCCTGAAGACAAACCTGATCCCACACATCTACAGAGCCAGCAGAAATCAAGCAGACTGTCTTCTACAATGAGGCAGAAATTTACAAATTTAGAAGACACAAGAAGGAAGTTGGTTGGTTTTGTTCACTGCTCTATCTACAAGATCTGTAAAAGTGTCAGGCATGTGACAGACACCTAAAATAAACTTTTTTTGAATGAATGTGTAAATAAGCTAGTGCACTACTATAAAAAGGGGTGGTGCTTTCCGGGAAACTGTAAGGCAGGAAGACTGAGAGGAAAAGGCAATAAAGACAGAGAGAGTTAAGGAAAGAGAGCGCATCCATAGTATCACTTGCCAAAGCCTAATTAGGCTTACTTTTTGCATGGCTCAAGGAAATGAGGTGAAGAGGTTATAGCACAAAACCAATCCCTCTCCCAATTCTGCCTAATTTGGGGTCCATTACCTGAAGACTTGAAATAAAGAAGTAAATAAACCTTCCTCAGCATCCAAACTATGATGTAGCTATGAGGAAAAGTGGACAAGGTTGTACCCACAGGGTAGGGACAGCCCCCTGCCTTGTAGAGTCACACGCAAGCAGCAGCAGCAGCATCCTCCCGATAGACTACTGTGTGGTCTTCTTCACAATGGAAGGATTTTTTTCTCTCTCCGTCTTCTCCTCTGCTTCCTCCTAATGTATCTACGAGGGTACTTCAAAAGATTTGTGGAGAAATGGAATTAAAAGATAATATGGATCTTTCCAGGAACTTTTTGAAGACCCCTCATATAAATATAATATCCTGGCACACAGAACAAAATAGAGGCCTGACACAGTCTGATGTTGAACTTGTTAGGTGAAAAGTATGAGTGTGTGTATATCCAAAGCAGGGGAAAATTAGAATAGTGGTTCTCTCTGGCTGTACTATTCTTATTAACTGTCCATATTTTCCAGTGTTTTTACAATACCAGGCATTACTTTTACAGTAAAGGAAGACAGTAAAACAACATCCAGAGAGTCCTGAAAGAGAAAATCGTGGCTCTTGGTAGGGCTTCTGGTCAAGATGGTGGAATAGATGGTCCCCAGCATCACTCTCTCCCACAAATCAACCAATTTCCAACTACAAAAAAGCAACAACAGCCAAGCTGGGGCCACTAGAGCTCCGGGGAAGAAGAGGAGAAACCTACAGAGTTCATGAAGGTGGGATAAGTCATGATGAGAAAAAGAAAAAACTGCTCGGAGTGTTTTGGACCATGGCCACTTCAAGGCTGAAGCTGCTAAGTGCACGGAGCAGGATCTGGCAAAAGCCGCAGCTGTGCCCTTTAGATGGAGTTGCTTGGAGGTGGCAGGGGAGAAGAGGGTCTTGGTCACCCCCAGGACAGCAAGAACATTAATAGGGTTCCTGTGGACCCACACAGGAACGAGGAGCCACAACAACTGAAAAAAAAGGAGCCGTTCAGAGGCCAGTGAGTGAATCATTGCAAGGAACCAGTGCACGGCCCATCCCATGGGAAGTGTTTGGAGCATGGGTGGCGGGGGAGACAGGCCCACCAGAGGAACACTGGGACACAGCAAGGACACCCAATCCACTCCCCAATTAGCACAGGACCACTCAGAGGAGACTGGTCAGGAATATAGAATTGCATGGGTTGCGGTTTGATGAAAAGACTCAGGCCCAGATCAGAGTTTCTACACAACCCAAGTGCACTGGGTCTCTGGAGAGCCGGAAGTACATATAAGGTCAACCATTAAACCCTGAGCTGAATAAAAAGCCTTCCCTACGGAAACAGCAGCAAAGCAGCAATTTAGCTCAACCACACAGCTCAAGTACTGGTTCCCACAGGAAGTTCCCCATTTTAGAACTAAGCAAAGGACAACAAATTAGTTTTGGCCCAGGCACACCACAAGTGCCTTGGGGCCCACCAGGGGACGTGAGGCTTGGAGTTGGGGACCAGATGCCCACCCACAACCAGGCACACCACCAGCACTAAGGAGCATGCCAAAAACATCACCTCCATGTGAGTGGCCCACCACAGCCAACACAGTAACCACAGCTGCTGCAAAAGTGGCTAGACATCACAATCATCACGCAGATGGTCCACCAGCCACTGGAGTACACTGACACAAGGAAAGTCATCAGCAGAGACCAAAGAAAAGAAGAAGATGTTTCTCTCCACAAAGCCCATTCCAGAGTGACAGAAGAAGCATCTGCTCTATGATAATATTGGGGGACCTGATCACACCTCTCAGCATTGGACAGATCATGTAGACAACAAATTAACAGAGTAACCATTACTCTTTCAGAGGGAGAGAAGAAATCTAGGGTTGTCAGTGGTGGGAGGGGGGAGGGAGAGGGGAATGGGGAGAGATTGGACAAGAGGCATAAAGAATAAGTACAATTTGTAACAATATATATACTAGTGATATTGATTTGATCAACATATGTTAACATTGAACCCCCAAAATATGTATAATCAATTATGATTCAATAAAAATTAAAAAAAAGAAAATCATGACCAATGAGCTTTCTACACAGCTAAGCAGTACCTCACACGTGAAGGCAAAGGGAAGAGTTTTTTTTTTTTTTTTTTTAAAAAGATGACCGGTAAGGGGATCTCAACCCTTGGCTTGGTGTTGTCAGCACCACGCTCAGCCAGTGAGCGAACCGGCCATCCCTACATGGGATCCGAACCCGAGGCCTTGGTGCTATCAGCACCGCACTCTACCGAGTGAGCCACGGGCCGGCCCAAAGGGAAGAGATTTTAGTCATGTTTTATGTCAATTTGAATTATGTCTATTTGAAAAAGTATGATATATGATGGAGGTTGGATGTGTTGTTCCCTCCAAAACTCATGTGGAAATTTGATCTCCAATGTGGCAATGTTGGAAACTGATTGAGTCATGGGGGCAGTTCCCTCATGAATGGATTAATGCTCTCCCTGGGGGAGGGGGGATTAATGAGTGAGTTCTCGCTCTATTAGTTCCCGTGAGAGCTCGTTGCTTAAAAAGATCCTGGCACCTTCTCTCTCTCTCGCTTCCCCTCTCTTGCGTCCTCTCGCCATGTGATCTGCTTGTACCCTCTGGCTGCCTGCCACTTTTCTGCCATGAGAAGAAACAACCTGAGGCCCATGCCAGATGCAGCTGTCCCAGAATCATAAGCCAAATAAACCTCTCTTCTTTATAAATTACCGAGTTTCAGGTATTCTGTTATAGCAACACAAAACAGACTAAAATAATATAATTTTAAGTAATGTCAATTTCCAGGGTTTAAAAAAATTAATTAAGAATTCCTGCTTCAGAAATTGTCTTATACCAAAGCTGCATGGCAGCACATCTTTAGCTGGAAAACAAATATTCACTATTGCTTGTCTATATATTGTGAACCATGCTATTGTGCTCATGTACTGGAGGAAATGTTTGAAAGAAAGAGTGATTTTCTTATCTTACAAAGGGAGGAGATAGAAGATACTATTTATGGTTGATGTAAATAATTAGAAGCATTCAGGTAAAAAATTTTTAAGAACTTTAAGAGTTAATGGAAAAATGTAAAACAATTTATTCCTTTCAAATCACATAAGAAAAAAGCTAAAGAAAATAAAGTTAGAAAGAAAGAAAACATAGAAAAGAAGCAGCAAGGAAGCATTAAAAAAAATTATAGATTACCAGCTATATTGTAAATATATTTTATTTTATTTATCTCACTCACTTAAAAGTCCCTTGGATATTATTTTCTTAAGTCTCCATAAGTGACAAACTTAAAACAGACTTAAAAGCTTAAGAGGAAAAGGTAAAGACCAATGAAAAGAAAACGGGTAGAATCCAACAGGTAAAAACATCACATGAGAAAAAAGGATCATTTTTTAATAATATATAACATAACCCATATAACTTTATGTACTAAATAACAGTGCTAAAATATATATAAAGTAAAAATTGTTAAAAATGCAAGAAGAAATGGATATAAAAACAGAGGTACAGGGAGACTTCTTTAGACATGCATTCATAGGAAAAATATAAAGTTAAATAAAGGTCATCTGGTGTCGAGCAAAATAGGCCTTATCTATGATAAGAATTTGGGCTTAACAGCAAAAGTCAGATAATAAAAAAATTTTTTAGAGTGTTCATTTGTATAGTTATGTGGAAGACAGAGGGTGAAAGGATGAAAAATGGGAAGACGATCTTCCTGCCCAGAGTAGTAAAACAATTAAATGCATTTCTAGGAAAAGCTACCCTAATAAGTCTGGTTCCCATCTGGGTATACCCTATTCTACATTTATACAGCACAACTCTACAAAGTGCTTTCACATTCGTATTACTTTCATTACTACAATAAATAGGAAGGTACAGTGACATTTAGATGAGAACAGAAACTTCTGGAAACAATAAAGGAGCATGACTCAAGGAGGGAAATTCCTGTTGCCATAAGAGGATTATTGCTGTATAAAATGCCTTATATATACCAATTAAGAATTTCCTTTCACGCTTAGCATTTCTATTCCCTCCAGGAAGAGCATCAAAGCTGAAGTAGTAGCAGTAGCAGAAGTAGCAGCAGCAGTAGCAGCAATAAACAAACATGAGTGCGAAGAGCATGGCTATAGCCTTGGCTGTGATATTCTGTGCTACGGTTATTCAAGGTATATAGTACTTTTTACTTCTCAGTCTATAAATTCCTATTCTAATGTTTCAAATGTCTTTTTTCCCACTTTTATCCTAAAAGACATGGTACATTTTTATTTAATCTTACACACTAGAATGTATTACAGCTTTGGCAGAGAATGTTGGAAATGTTTAGGACACTAGAGATGATTATTGAAACGAGGGATGATAAACTTCATGGAATTTTTGGTTTGGCTACAATATTTAGCAAGAGCCTTTAGCAATAGTTTTAACTGTTTAAGAAGATTTTATATGACATAATATTATTAGCTTCCTGGAAAAATTCCTGAGCATAAAAGCAAAGGCAAACAAGCTTCACCTCCAATAAACTTTCGTCACACTTCCCTTTATTTTTTAATGGTTTGCTTACGAATTTAAAGAGAAAATCATCACTATCTTACTTAACTTCTTGCCCACTAACAGTGGTGTCAAGTGCTATTTAATAAATCACTGTTTTTATCCTTAATGAAAACTCATCTCACATTCATCACCAGGATTATAAACCACAGAAATTTGCTGCAATCAGATGCATAACTAACTAATACTATGATCTGTTCTAGGCTTCCCAATATTCAAAGCGGGGCGTTGTCTTTGCATAGGCCCTGGAGTAAAAGCTGTGAAAGTGGCAGATATTGAAAAAGCCTCCATAATCTACCCAAGTAACAACTGCGACAAAATAGAAGTGATGTAAGTAATAAATTTGATGAAGATGACAATGATGGAGGCTTTTTTGTCTGTTTTATGTTTTTCCATCCAAAGTTTACAGTTCTTTTGGATCTTCCCTTAACAGTATCACCCTGAAAGCAAATAAAGGAAAACGATGCCTAAATCCCAGATCAAAGCAAGCAAGCCTTATAATCAAGGTAAGTTACCAGATTACTTCCATGTTATAATCGGTTTTATACAAGACAGATCTTCTGAAAAAAGAAAATCAAGTGAACAACTGCAGAAAGATTTTGCTATGATCCTGTGTGAAATATTCCATTAAGGGGTCCTTGGTTAAAATAGCTTCCCTTCCCTGCTATATGTTTTTACATGTCAACTCTTAATCATTGGGGAAACAAGAAGAGCCCAGGTAAATAAAACTCTTGTTTTCTCATTACAGCAAATTGAAAGAAAGAATTTTTTTAAATACCAAAAAGTATGAAGTCCTGGAAAAGAGGATTTGAAAACCTAGAACAAGTTTAACTGTGACTTCTGCAACAGGAAACCGACTTTGTACCGCCTGTTGCAATATACATTCATGCCTTTCTAGGTTAGAGAATCTTCTAAATTTGATGCTTATAAACAATTTTGCTGTGACTATGAAAACATTTTGTCTCTAGAAGTCATCTGTCTTTACTTGATCTACATTCCATATTACTAATTTGTGGTTACAATGGAGACATTAACAAGGAGTCAAGCCCTTACTAGTCAAAAGCAGCCATGTGTGTAGTAAAACATTCCTCAAATAATTTTTCATGCAAATACATATTTCTTTCCCCAAATATCATGTGGCACATAAATATCTAGAAAAAAGTTCTTATGCATCATTTTGTTTTATAAAAAGACTGTAATTCTAAAAATGTACTATGAAAAAAATTGTAAGCTACGGGAAACTTCTAAGAGTGATTAGTAGCACTGGTCTTAATTTGATTTTTTTCAACTTTTTTTCATTGAGATATTTTGAAGTAATTAGAATATGTGTATTTACTGTAAATTTTGGTTTTATCTATTGTTATAAATGATAGCAATATCTTGGACACATATTAAATGTAAATGTTTTTATCTACCAAATAAAAATGTTGAAAAATAAATATATATATGCATATCTGGCAATCACCTTTACTTTCTGTGATTCTGTTTCTTAGAAAAATACATAATCTAATCTATTTCTTTTGCCATGCCTATACTATAGAATTTAGGGATATCTAAGACTGCTGTACTTTGAAAAGAATCAAAAGCATTTTTCTCTAATAAGCTACCACAATCCTACTTAAAACAGAAACAGCCATATACTTTCCAGAACATTTGAGATGCCTTTAACAATTTTATTTTATATTCCAAGAAGTATACAGCTTCCTATTATCATGCAAAATTGTTTAGAAATGTATTTTAATGGGTCGTTGTGAAGAATAGCTGTTTGGTTTTTTTTTTTTGGGGGGGGGGGGGTCTTTCTAGTCCAAACCCCTTTCTTACTTGCGGCAAATCTCTTATTATGTATATCTTGATCAGAGGACAAAAGAGAGAAACGAAAAGGAGGAAATCCTCCCCTGCAGCCAGAACAGGAACTCAACCAGGCTATTCCTACTCTAGACTTTGAACTCTAGCTAGTGTCACACAAAGATGCCAACAGTAAGAGAATTATTTAAAGCAGCAGCGAAAGTCTCACAGTAGTGGCGTCCTAACACATGTTCCTGTTTCATAACTTTGGCTAGTCCTTCCTGCCAGATACCTCCCTTAGGTCCTTCTCCATTTTCCAAGCCTTATTCTCCAGTCTTCCTGTGCATTCTTCAACAACCGATAAAATTCCTTTTTTCCTTAAGCTTACCAGAGTTGGTTTCTCTGCACATAATCAAAAATGTTGACTGATACAGCACTCCTTTTTTTTATTGAAACATAATTTGATTGTACATATCTGTGGGGTACGGTTTTGAATATCAATACCTGTGGATATAGCACCCTTGGTATAGGCACCGATACATTTGAAAAATGAAAATATTTGCTATAGAATTATAATCAGCTATTTCTTATACATTATATATAATATAGATATATAACAAATCTATGTTATATAAACCTATATAAATTTCTATATTAAAATGAAACTTCTATATAAATTCCCTGAATAGTTTTAAGACCTGAATCTAATCCTTGACAGTGGATATTTTTTAAGTATCTTTAAAAATAAAACTTCACTGAGTTAAGGCTGCATAATAAATTTAGTATTTAAAAAAAAAATAGATTAAGTATTACAGACCAGCTCATTATTATTGAGAAGATAACATATACCTAAATTTCTTCATAGAAATAAGTATATGAAAGAATTAACATACTTGAGCCAAGATTGTTCCCACTTCAGTACCTTTGCACATACTATTCTCTCTGCCCATTTCTTCACTAAGCTAATGCCTACTAATCACTTAGGTCTCAGCTTAAATGACATTTTCTCCAGGAAGCCTTTGAAACCACCCCCTCAACCTCAACTAGATTAGGTGTCCTATTTATTTATTTATTTTCATAATACTCTACTTTTCCATCGCACTACTTATTGCAATTGTAACTGTGCCTAAATTATTCCTGTGCCAGATATCTGCTCTCCCACAAGAGTAAGCTCAATAAGAAAGTCATTATAGTCCTATCCTACAGTAAAGTACCTAGTGCGCCCTATTAAATGGCAATAAAAAGTAAGGGGAGAGGAACTTACAGCAGAAAAATGGCATGAGGGTGTACAGTGGTAGAAGAAATATAAAGTGAATTTTAGAAATAATAATTAGATTTATTTGGTTGGAGTAAAGGATGAAGGGCATCAAATGCCTAGCTAAACAACGTTGAATTTTACTCTGTACAAAACAAAGATTCATTAAACGTTCATGATTAAGATAGTGACCCTATTCAAGTTATTATAAATTATTCTGAGAATGGCATAGAGGGTCACCTGGAAGTGGGAGAGACTAGGGAAGGGAGAATCAGTTTGAAATACATAACAATAGCTTAGGTTTTTATTTCCCAAACTTCAAGTCATTCTCATACCATCTTTACAATTTTTTTTTTATCATATCTTTATTGCAAATTCTGTGTACCACTTTATTTTACTTACATTTACACGAAAAGCAAACTCTCACTACTGGTACATGTGAAATCAGTATGACATGCTACAGAAATAAAATGTAATGATCAAACAAAATACAACGAAAAAATGCTAAATTCCTACTAGACACTATTGTATGCCAAAGGTTCTACGTCTCAGGCCTGGTCTGTATGTGTTAAAAGGAAGATTAACATAGTTGGTGAAGTGTTTGAAAGCCATGCGGATACCAAATTGAGACTCTCCCTAATTTAATCAGAGGGACTGAAGTTAAAAAGAGAATAATTCATTGATATTAAATGCCATTATCAATGAGTCACCAATACTGATGTGAAAAGTAACAAGGGCTGGCTCTGCAGTTAGTTAAACAGAATTACTATATGACCCAGCAATTCCACTCCTAGGTATATACCCAAAAGAACTGAAACAGTTGTTCAAACAAAAACTTGTACACAAATGTTCATAGCGGCACTATTCACAGTAGCTAAAAGGTAGAAACAACCCAAATATCCATTAGCAGATGAATGGATAAGCTAAACATGTTGTATATACACAACAAAAGATTATTCAGCCACAAAGGAATAAAGTATTAATACTTGCTACAACATGGATGAACCTGAAAACATGAAGTGAAAGAAACCAGACACAAAAAGACTGTATGTTGTATGATTCCATTTTATATGAAATATCTTGAATAGGAAAATCCATAAAAACAGAAAGCAGATTAGTGGTTGTCAGGGGCTCAGAGGAGGGGTTAATGGGAAGTGACTGCTTAATAAGTATGGGGTTTCTGTTTCGGGTGATGAAAAAGTTCTGGAACTAGATTGTGGTGATGGTACACCACATTGTCAATGTACTTAATGCCACTGAATCATACACTTTTAAATGGTTAAAATGGTAACTTTTAGATTATGTGTATTTTACCACAATTTAAAAAAAGGGCTAAACTGATGTGGTAATGGTGAGAATAAAAAGAGAAGTACACTATAGAAAAGAATGAGATAGTGACAGACTGGCTGTGAAGGTTGAAGCTGAGAGAAAGAACCTAGGAAAATGCTAAGGATTTGATTCTGCAGTTGAGGCAGACAAGGAAACATGAAAAAAAGCTGAGGTTTTAAGGTTTGAAAGAATAGTACTGCCACTAACAGGACTAGGAAGATCAGGAGGAAGATGCTGTTTAGCAGAGAAGACTGCAGGTTAGATTTTAAATATATGAAACTTTAGATGACAAATACCCACAGTGACTTAGAAACACAGGACTATTTCCTCTAATTAACCAAGAGGAGCTTCCAAACAGATGGAGTAGTTTTGGATAAATGGTAGGAAAGAAACAACACTTAATTATTTTTGGCAATTGAGTATGGTACCTCATACACTCATATGGAATTAATACACAGTATTACAGTATTATCTCAGTATCTGTTTCTTAGGTTTTTATAGGCACATAAATCTTTATGATGTGGCCAACTCATTCTGTAGGTTATAAGTAGTACATACAAACATAACAGTTTAGGGTTTTTTTGGAGGGGGGTGGCGAGGCAACGTTAGTTGCTGCTTCTTGCCTTTTCTGCAAATTTTATTTATCAGACACTAGTAATGAAATTGAGCAAGTCTGAGATCATCATGTACACTGCAACCATAGTTTCACATAAGTGCCAAAGAAAAATAACTACTTCCCCCAAATCCTGGCATCTTACATGCAGATATAATTACTTGGTGCTGCTCAATAAACTGCTACTAAATTGGAAATGCCCTGAGGTGAATTATGGACTTTACATAATTTCCCACAAATAATGATTTAGCAATCTTCTTTAAATTGCTCACAAAGGACAAATTGTCAGTAAGAGCTTGAAGAAAATTAAATAATGATACATTTTATGGTATGACAAGCACTATTAAACTACATCATATCTCAAGATTCTTTCTCCTAAAAAAAAGAAAAAAGACAAACAATGACAAAAATTAAAACTAGACATTTTCTGAAGATTTTGATTAAAAATGGAACAAAATATTCATAAAATTCTAATTTATTTTGTTTAAAAATCTAATTTATGGGAGGAAGAGGGAATGTACTATATTTCCCCCAAATATATTTACTTTTATAGTGTCCTCAGATTTTATCTCTTCTCCCAAATGATTGTCTGCCATATTTGTAAAAGTCCTCCCAAATGCATGAGTTAAGAAACACGGCAATTTATTTCAAGGTGTGTTCTCTGTTAGCACCTCTGTTATCTACAGCAATTCCAAAAAAGACTAGGGCTGCCCCATCTCTCCCCCTACCTGGACCCTGACCTCTCTTCAATAAGGCCATACGCCTATGTTTCATCACACCCTAAGTTGTTGCAAGTTCCTGAAAACAA